AATTTAAACTATTTCACTATTTCTAATAACGAACATAATTAGAAGAAAAATTCAATCGACCATTCATAAAAATCAAGTGTCTACCTCATTCCAAATTTATTCCTATTCCATTCAAATCTCTCCAACATACATACATACATTTTTCAAAAATAAAAACTTGAAGAAGAAACATATTTCGCTGTCCTATTAACTTCACTATATCATTCTACAAGCGTACAAACTTAAATTTCGTACACAATACAGCAATTACCTTAACAATTCAAAAATCAAGTGTTTACCTTGTTCCATTTCCACCCTTACTCCATTCGTCAAACTTTCGACTGGACAGAAAAGCTCCAACAATCGCGATGCAATTTCGATCGCAGTCGCAAGAATACTAATCTCGTACGCGGCAAACGTAGAAAATAATTCATAGGCATAACTGTTCCTCGGTTTCTCAGGGCTTCGTAAATCGCGTTAATGGAACGAAGGTGTACCGCGAGCCTTCGATCGCGATAAGCGGAATTGCGTTCCATTAATTAAATTCCAATTGAGACAACGTATTTATTACAGGTGTTCCCGGTGAGAAAAATGGCCGTGCATCGACGAGCCGCTGACACGGTTCAACGGTGCTCCGCTTGCGAAACCCGCTTCTCTCCGCGTGATTTCGCGTCCAAGGATTTAGTCATTCGCTCCTTCGCGGCGAGCGTTTTCAACCAAGCGGGCTTTAATTTCTGCCTTGCCAGCTCGCCTTTTCCGCGAGAAGATAAAGGTTTTACCGAGCGTTACGAAAGCATCGCGCTGGTAACTGACCGCTAATTGATACTTTAAAGCGACTGGTTTCTTTGTCCGTGTTCGCCTCTCGGGGGAAATAAAGATAGTTCTACCTTGTTCGAATGTTGAATTCGTTCGAATTTTTAGGACACTCGGATAACGCCCGGCTTTTATTTATTCTTGCTCTCGATCCGGGAGAAATTTACGAGATGCGAAGGTGTTCGATTCCGATAAAATTGCTTGGATTAAGTAATCCCGAGCGTTGATTGCGGTGATAAATCGTAACGTTCTCTCTCTTTAGGTGCAATGTGATTCGTTAGAGAAATCTCGATAATTGAGTGCGAGAAATGGAAGAACCTTAGAGCAAAGCTTAAAAGGGGAAACTCGTGTAACTCGCTAAAAATAAGATGAACTTTCTTAATTTTTTCTTAAGAAACAATACAATATATCCTCTTGAAATTTTTAGAATATCTTATCGAACATCTATAAAAGTAGAAAATATTTTTTTCAATGTAAAATAATTCGATTACTATAAACTATAGAAGTATTTCACCGCGGCGGCGTCGCGCAGTAAAAGTGATCAATTAGTAAACATTCATTTACTCATTGTACCATTCCAATATTAAAAAACAAAACGTCTAAATAATTCTTCTATGCAATCTCCAGTTTACATTTACTTCATAATACCCACCGTCTCATAAATTGTCGCAAACAAGCATAAAGAAATTCACAATTCCGTGAGATTCCAAAAAGAATCAGAATCTAACCCTTCTCCCATCCATCTTCTTCCCTTAGTCGCCAATCTTTACACATATTTTCTGGCAAACCACCGAACTCCCAAATCACCTACAAACTACAGGACCCAACTTGAGCGTATTTATCAGTCGTGTATTCGTTCAAAGATGCATCAACCTGCGAGCGCAACAATTTTCCGCTCTGCTTCTTTCTCCTCCGTGGTCAACGCGATTATCAGCGTGAATAATCAACGCAACCGTCGCATCACTGTCCGCATAAATCAAAACTGGCGCAGAACGGAGGATAACAGACCGCGTGATGGCCGGTTTCTCGGTAGAGAAGGAGAAGAGAGGGCATGAAAGGCAGAAGGTCGTAGTCGAAGAGTTCGTAGCACGGTTCGTGCGAGGGTGTACGGATCGTGTCAACGATACCGTGGATTTACGACGGTCACCGAGCGAATCCATTTGTTTCATCTGCATCTGCTTAGCACGCTAATGCTACCTTCCCGTGTACCACTGCCCGTTGTTCCGTGCCGTTCGAATCGGCCAGACCTCCAAGATTAAGGTGGACCCCGGGTAGAGAAAAAGTCTACCGCTAACGGAAGAGGCCACTGTATAATTTCGCAGTCGCGGCCGGTTTCCTTTTGCGAGTCAACTTGCTCTAGGACATGAGCCGGACGATCCCACTGGGTGAATGAAGCGTGCAGGTTTCTGTTTTTACGATTTCCGAACACGAATGTTTGAGAAGGCGTGGTTATTGCACAATAGGAGTTCGAACGTTTCTATTACACGTAATAGACCATTCGATGAGATTTTTCTTTCCTCTCGCTGCGGAATGTGGCAAATAGTTTCTTACGCGGTCATATTTTGGTCAATTTATTGCGAGAGCTGCTGAATGAAATTTTGTAATTGAAGATTTGTGGGAAACGTTTACTTCGGATGTGATATTTTGGTTAATTTATCGTGAGAGCTGCTGAATGAAATTTTACAATTGAAGATTTGTGAAAAATCTTTTTCACGATGTGATATTTTGGTCAATTTATTGCGAGAGCTGGTGAATGAAATTTTACAATTGGAGATTTGTGGAAAATATTCTCTCACGATGTGATGTTTCGATTGAAATTTTGTAATTGAAGATTTCTATTTGATTATTTACTGTTAGAAACTTTGACGAAAATATCTCGTAGTTAGGGTAAATTTTTTTGAGGAATGTCTTCATTTAGATAAACTACGATATGATAATAAGTGCACATATTATATAAACGAGAAGAAAATAAAGAATTTATGGTAGGTATTGAAGAAATGAAAGCTTTGAGAAGATTAAAACTGGGATTCATACAGGATGAGGATTAAAAGTGTGATTTCAAGGAATCGAAAAATATGTTACATAAATTTCGTGAAGTATTGCAAGTATATTTTTTTTAGAAAGGCTAGTTGAAGTTAAAGTCTGCTATGATATGTAACCACACACAATTTTCAGTACTTTCAGATTTGTATGTGAACTTTTTAGATTCCAAAGTGGTAATTCAGGTTTTTCTATGTTACTACCGTCACATTTTTAGAATTTCGTTAAATTACAGCTCGTAATATGTTAATAGCGTCGCTTAAATGTACATATCTCCATGAAAACGGTTAAAACTTTCTGATCAAGGTGGCGACTGGATCATTTCGTATCCATTTGTACCACAATTATGCTAATATACAACCAGAAAGATACTTCCATCATTTTAATCGTTTATTTAAATCACACTGCTTTATGGCAATTCTGTTTTTTTACTAGCATCGTGAAAATAATAACTGTGTGTAAAACTTTAAGTAACCGATTGCGAACGAGTTCAAAAGATAAAAAGAGAAGTATACGACATAATTTTATCCCATTCCAAAGGAATTAACAATGAATACAATTCTTAGTAAGACTTAGTTAGCTGCTAAGATTTCAAATGCTTAAAGAATTTATTTGCGACTTTAACTTTGCTGTATTTTAAACACAACATCTAAAAGTATTCTCTAATAGAATAAAAAAAAATTAATAAATTTATCAGCTTAAAGATTTTCAACAGCCAAAAAATGTAAACTCACTCCTCAAATGAACTAATTATTTTCTCGAAAAAAACTTGTCACCAAAGTGTCACACAATTCACCGCAAAATTATTCAAACCTTGAAATCTCAATCTAAAAATCCTACTCATAAAATTACACACCACGTTCATCATATTAACTCAATACAAAAGTTTCCATCACTTATAAATCGATAAGACTGAAAAGTACTGTATGCTTCCATTTTCATTTCAATTTGCATAGCAGGTATTTACACTGAATACAATCTCAAGAAGCATATAGCATCAATATGATATTACTAGCATCCTCACAACAACAAATTACAAATACAATAAGAAATAAATACCCATTCTCGAAGAAAATACTATGGGAACCATTGCACGGACCTAATAAAACGTCGAATCACACCAATCAACCAGGTAACCCGCGCCGTCCCACAGAAAGGGCTTCAAGTGGCCGTAAGTCAGTCCCCAATTAGTTATCCAAATGATCTCGACCGGTGCAGCCGGTGTTCCATCGGAATTCGATAAAGCACCGCGTGACCGATCGCGTATCTAACGACGCGGGGGGAAACGGAAAGAAATGATTACGAGGTGGCCGCTGGCAGTTAGAGAGGATCCAACCAGGATAGCATGGTTAATATACCTATGTGGCCGCGGGTAATGAACGCGTGTTAACCAGTTCGTTATCGGTGAAACGGTGCCCACCTTCTTCTCGACGTGGACTTGCTGCCTGGAGAAACCACGACGACCGATCGGTAGGAGGAGAAGAAAGCAAGAAGAAGAAGAAGTAGAAGAGAGAAAGAAGGAAGAAAGGACAGAGGGAAAGAATTAAGAGGGTGAAAGGGAAAGGCGAGCAGGCTAAGATAGGCCTGGTTTTATCGCGAGATGTTCGGGTAATCGTCGCCCGGTAAGAAGTTATGATTCCAACGTTTCCAGCTATCGGCGATTTTCTGCGGAACTTATGCTGTTCGCCGCCGTGACTAAGGACGCTTTCCGTCTACGGGGAACCGTTGTCAGCAACGTGGAACGACCCCGTGGAATTTATCCCGCGTCCACGGGGCAACGCGCGACGTGTTCCGTCCCGCTCATTGCGAATTCACCGTGATCCCGCGGAAGATTGCACTGATGCGAGTCCTAGGTGTTGGGCTATTGATGGTCCAGATTTTGTCGCTTCGTTTCTCGCGAAACGGACGTTTCGTCTGTCTTCAGGGGAACTGTTGAATAGGCCTGGAGTGTAAGTACCTTGCATTCGTTAGCTGAAATGCCTTATTTAAGAATTTCTCATTTTTTGGAGTATTTAGAGCTCTACACGCTACAGAGCTAACACTGTTTTAGGATACGTGCCCATTTGAGAGTAAAACTATCGCAAGTTGCTCTCGAGAGTCAAATTTATCAGTAGAAGTACTTACACAATTTGAGAGTGCTGGAAGAGAAATGGACACACAATTTGAGAGTATTCTCGAAAGCAAGTATCGTAAAAAACTCTGAGATGGACACGTACCCTTAAGCTAAGTTAGAATGTCCTGTGTGTTTTGTAGAACTCTATAAATAGCCTAATTTATTTGTCTCAACTGTTTTACAGGTGCTCCTACTAGTTTTAGGATAATTAAACTAAGTACGGCAGTAATTACAGGTATTGGGAATGTTGGTAGGATTGGTAATTCCAAGAGTTTCTTCTAATTTTGGGAATAAAGTATTTGGAACATAATTAATGCAATTTTTCAGCTGTCAGAAAGAGCGAAAAGTTTTGTATAGTGTTGATAAAAAATAGGCCTGGAGTGGATAGGCTTGGTGGTTTCAAGAGTTTCTTTTAATTTTGGGAATAAAGTATTTGTCAGTTCTTAGAAAGAGGCAAAATTTTTGTCTAGAGTTGAAGAATGGTTCGAAAAAAATTCCAATACAGGCATGACTTGATTGAAGCTTCAGTTCTAACTTTAAAGGACACATTTGAAATATTAAACATTTGTTTTCGGTATTGTGAAGTATTAAAACGATCATTTAAAACTCATCGAAATAGTGTCACAAATAATAACAATAAATTTCTTTCAAATCGCAACAACCTGATCTTTACTTCATTATCTTAAACAGCTCTAATCGTCTTCGATCTCTAACCGGAAGATACTATTCACTCCCATATTCCCCGATATATTTACAATAATCAACACCAGCGAAACGAAGGAACAGTAAGTTCACATTTCCCCTTATCAAACCTGAGCATCGACGATCTCGAGTAATCAGCACCTCGTCGAAAAATGAAAAAGAAGGGTGAAACGAGGTATCAGCTTTCCTATCTTCGATTATTCCCATCGAGAGTAACTCAAAGCGGGTTCTAGAACCATGTTGAACATCGCCACACACGATCTAGAAACGCAGCCGTGAGCCAGGACGAGAGCGTTCCTTTGCCTCCGGTTTCTTGGGTTCACCGCGCGTAAAAAGTCTAACGAGCGAGCAACGTACGGCAGAATTACGACGAGCGTTTATTGTTACTGCCACTATTTTTCCCCGTTGTTACCGCGTCATTCTCTCGTTAACACTCTCCTCCTCGTTAACACTTTCTCTTGTTAACGTAACCGGCCTGTGTACGTACACATATGCGCCTCGCCTAATGCAATGCAAATTCAACAGCCGTCATTGAGATATCATGCCGACCGGCGCGTAGATAGGGCTAACGTTCCAGCCTGAACCACAGCCGACCGAGAATTAACAGCGTTGTTTATCGCTGCAATAATATACGAATGAACGTGCAATCGCGTTACTCTCTCCAGCCCTTGCCACCCGTCCAGCCAGATGCGCTCTTTCTACTAGTTCCCCAAGGCGTGACTTTGTTCACGAAGAGTACACCTTGTGACCCGGCACGTTGCTAGGATGCGGCTTAGAGTTCGCGGATATTCGAGAGCTTCCTTTACAGTGGCTTATTAAGGAAGGCTCCTTCTTTGATTGTTTTCGATGGGATACCACGTCGATGTTGTTTCGTAAATTGGAACAATCTACGGAGTTTCCGGGAGATCTTCTTCCTATGTTCGTTGATTTTTAATGATACGTCTTCATTTTTCTTAGTATAGGTACTGCATGTGTTACAGATTTTGTAAAGTTTGCCTAGGCGAAGTGTAAAGCGTATTTTATTCTATTGTTTGTCAGGTGAATTTTGGCAAAATGTACATTGCGTAGTCGATGTATGAATTGCCGGATTTTACACTTTACCGGTAACGGATAACAAAGAGAACAACTTAGAAAATTTAAAGTTTGAAACGTGAAATTAATTTGATTGTTTTTGGAACTTGGGATTTGTGTATCTTTATATTCGTGTAAATGAGGAAATTTTGAATACTAATTCTGGTTTACTGTGTTTAATTGAAATTGAAAGTGTGCAGCTAAGAAATCGTGTTTTACAGTTTTAACGGTGAATTTCGTATTGAAATCGCGGAGATTAAAGGGGGAGGTGGATAGTTTTTCAGGATTAGAAAGTTTGAATTGCATCTTTGTAGCAAGACTTACGAAACACGATTAACTGTTATTCGGATGTGACTTATAATTAATGATTATAGACTTATGTAACAAGTAAATGCAGGCTGCATGTTACAAAATAATACCATCAAATTTTGCTGTTACATACGGAATGGTCTGTATAAAAGGATTTATATGAAAATAACATGTTCTTAGAAGAGTTTACTAGGGGTTCAATAGATGTTAACGAAATTTTCATCTCACGTATCAAGAATATTATTAATTATTGAAATTATTAATCAAGATGAAGTACGGAATCTTAGTTTCATTAATTTACGTAGAAGCAACAAAAATAATTGAAATTATCGCAATGAAGAAATAATTTTCTGAACATTCATATGTTTCCCATAATTTCTTAAATGCCACAAAATTGCAAACTCCCACACATAAAACTTTCAATAAATTGTACTTAGAATCATAATTTCATTTTCAAGACAATCTTCCGTATTTAATTTCTTCAACATTACGCAGTACATTTCAGCAACGTTTCACCACCGCTATCCTAACAAAAAAAGAAAAAAAAAAGAAGAAAGAAAAAATAAGTAAAGGTGTTTCTACGAGGAATTTCGCCGGCGATTATTAACGCAGAATAAGCATATGCCTTCCAGTAATTACTTAACACTCGCAGAGCAATTTTGCATAAACCGTCTTTTAACTGTGCTCGCTTTCACTCGTGCATTATATTGCTCCGCATTCCATGCACGACAAACTTCTCAATCGTCGTCAAAAGTTCCACGTGAAAAGCTACCGGACACACCTGGAACCACGACACAATTATCGAGCGCGAACCAGATACGTCGAATAGGATGAAGAAATGTGCACGAACCGAGGTTAATATCGCACGGAATCAGGCGTGAGCCTCGATTTAAACCGATGAAAAATTCGCAACGATCTCTATCGAAGGTTGATTGCAACGAGATTACAGTATTTCCTCGGCTGACCGCCGCTCGTCGTTTTATCGTTATTTACCACGCGCGATTAAGAATGGCTAATCTCTCGGCACGAACAGCTTCTCCATCTGGGAAGCAACTTCCTCCTTCGAGATGTTATATTATATAAAATAATCGAATCGAGCATGTACGTGAACGACGGTTGCGTCGATTCCGCACGGTTTGCTCGTTTTATGTATGCACGTGCAATTATTTAAAGATTGTTTCGTTTTACGAGGATGAGAGGGACGTTTAATGAATTATTCGAATGATTCGAGAGGTTGCTATTTCACACGATTTTTATTCGAGTTTTATTAACGACGATCGAAGAGGAGTTGGAAAATGAAGCGAAAGGAATTTCTGATAATTTCGTCTAATTTTAATTATTTTTCTGCTTACCTGGATTTTGTGTTCGTAGGAGAATACTTTTTATGTGGAATTGGACGAAACATTTGGTTCACTTCTGTGATATTATTTAGCGCGAAATTCAAATTTTACTGGAAATAAATAAATTCCCGAAACAAATACCACCTTAATCTTCACAAAAATACCAAAATTACACCTGTGTACTTACTCTGAACCCAAAACTAGGCAAACTGAAGAAATTCAAATTCGACGGAAACACATTTCAACAAATTGCGCAATTCCTGAGATAAAAGTAATTTTCTTTCACACGAAAAAAAATTATAATTACATCTCGAAACGTAATAATTGGATTCGTATAATCGTTCTCGGTCCACTTTCCATTAGGAAATAATCGAAACCGTTCGTTGCGTTCAGCAGCTACAACCAACAAATGTATCGCCGCTAAAAATCACACACCGTGTGGCCTTTGGAAAAACATTTCAATTGCAGCTTAAACATTAACGAACACGCGATGCGATTCGATTCACTTAGCTGACCGCTGCTGTCAGCCTGACGTTCGGCCAAGAGAACAAAATAACAACCCCTGTCACGAGGCCGCAACATGCGTCCAGGCGAAACCGCTGGAAAACGCAGAAAGATTCACCGCGCGATATCCTAATTGCGGGATATGAGCCAACGGGTAAGATAACGCGAGTAACAGCCGCGGGAATATGACTCGATACCGCGGGCCCGCCCTCCAACCTCTTAATAACAATAATTAGTTCTCACCCCGGCGAAACATTTCGCTCTGGGCGTTTTCTCTGTGCTGCTTAGCAGCTCCCACGAAAGGTAATGACGTCGAAAATGCTTGCACGTTGTCGTGGCCACGAGGTGTGCGATTAACGGGGAAAAATCTTTTTCCCTTCGACTGTGTGCCGGTAAACGGCGAATTTCAATTGCGCCTCGTTTCCTTCGTAATAGCGCGGTGTGTTGTAGATCGTTCTTGCGAGATATTTCGTTGCAACGGTGAACGGGTTGTTGATAATACTTTTTTAAAATTTTTTTTAGGAGAGAGTAAGGCAGTTTTGATTTTAATTTTACGTCGAAACAATCTGAGCGATATTGAGAAATTATTGGCGACGAAATATTTAGTGGAAAAAAAGAAGTTACTTTTATTATCTACTCTTGTAGAATGTTCGATGGAACGTAGGTACGTGTAATTCAAATTTCAAGGTTCATTCTGAACAGATTGTAAATACTTCGCTCGATTAAAAAGAAGAAAAAATGATAATTAGTCTTGTGATTGAATATTGGTGCAATTAACCGAGTAATAACTGCATTTGATTGTGTGTAATAAAAATTCACCACTGTACTAAACGCTGGTCGAAGGATGCAATTATTCTTAACCGTGGTATAAAAATTACGCGAGTTCATTAATTGGACGAAAATTGTTCGTTCAATGATGTAAGGTAATAATTGACGATTCATTTTATACGTGTACTGTACTGGAAATTAGATCAAGTTACAATTAAGTGTATTTTTAAGAAAAATAAACAAAAAGCGTTATACTTGTTTCACTTGTAGATAGTACTTTATCGCATGCATCGCCACATTTGAAATATTTGTTTGATTTTCTGCCGATGAATGTAATAAAGTTTTACTAACATCCGTTAAATAAGCAAATGAATGATTCTAATCGTGATTTATCGTGTCAGTGTATGACGTTGCACTAATTGCCATCGGCGAAAAAATTCTACACCACGGGCAGAGTAACACGGCAGAAATTGCACCAGTAAAATAAGAGGTTGAAGTAGCACACAACACTTGAATCGCTGTTCTAATTACGATGTAATTACACAGTAATTAAGGAGCTATTCGAATGTCCTGTTGTTCTGGTTTCTTATTTTCACCAATCCTCTCTACAAAATGGTTCTGTATTTAATCATTTTATTAGGTGATTCTTTTGCTAAGTAAAAACAATCATGCTGTAATTGAAACATTAATTGTTACCGTACGTGCCTTATTTAAGCAATTTTCACCGTGAACACGTGATTATTTTAATTGCAGGTACGTACGATTGAAACGAATAAATTCGCTATGATTCGATATCTCTTGAGAAAAATATTAATACCTACTAGTAAGTGAAATTATGAATAATGGCATTTTTAACAATTTTTATTGAAATTTCTGGATTTTTTATGAAATACTTAAACGCTTGAGTTATTAATTTAATTCCTGCAGCATTAACCCTTTCGCTGCGGTAGATTTTAATGCGTAACGCGCGTGGCAGGCATCTTTTGTTTTGGTGTTTTAAAATTTGAAAATTTATTATTTTATTAAATTCAGATGGGAGTGCGCAAAGGGCAAAAGTTAAGGTGAAAATGTGTCAAAAAGCGCAAAGGGTACAGCGCGAGAAAATTTTCAAAGCGCCAACAGCAGCGAAAAGGTTAAAATATAACACCATTTAAGTTTTACACAAAATAAAACACTCTTTTCACATTAATCACACCAAAAATGTGTACAGTTGCAGTTAGAAACCTACTTTCTATTACTCACACGGTCCATAAAAATGAGAAAAAGGTCAGGTAGAATTCTCCATCTGCGCCGTGTCAAATTTGCCAATAACTATAAACGTTCGAACCTTTTCTTCTACCTTCTAAAATAGAATTCACCACAATTTATTGCCGCGGTAATTGATTAATTCCAAGCTGCTCCACCTGCTACCAACAAAATTTCTCTCCGGCTGGTCATCACTCAGAGTCTTCAACCTCTCCTCTCTCCGTGTGCAACCGTGCAAATAAATAATTCGGCTACAAACAGCTAACGATGTTTGGACAATTATCCCAAACGAGTCTATCAATCCGTGTGTCTAACTGTAAATCACTTGGGCTCCCTCGAACAACCGACTCGCAGTTCTGAAACCGGTTTCACGGTTCCTAACCGTGACTTAACCTATGCCTAACCCAGACACCTAAACTCTTTCGTCTTCCATCCTTCACAAACTCGCGCGCCTCTTAACCTGGCCGTGGCGGGTAGAAAAGATCCACCGGGCTCAGCCCCCCTGCCATAATTCACCAAACTCCGCGAACTACGGCTCGCAAATCTTGGCCTGTAATTAAAAACACCGCTGCAGGAGTTTAACTGTGATTTCGAGTCGCGTGTATCCAGATGAAATCGATGAAAAATGATTTTTTAACACCGTTCGTGATGAATGATACATTATTCTCATTTGCTGGCTTTGACAGGGTCTGTGGAAATGTAGTTAAATCGCTTGACTTTTGTTAATATTGAAATAGAGAATTTTTGCAGGTGATTGTAGGTTTTGTTATTTCTTCTTTAAATTTCTTAACCCTTTCGTTTTGAAAATTTTCTCACACTATGCCCCTGGCACCTATAGTTGTATAAATTCACTCGCATTGTGAATTTTGGCACACTTTCATCTTAATTTAATCCTTAATTTTTGCCCTTTGCTAACTTCCGCCTTAATTTGATAAAATGATAAATTTAAAAATCTGAATTTTGAATTTAAATTTTAATACTTTTTAAAATTTCAATTAAGAATTTAAAAAT